ACACACACACACACGTATATATATATATATATATATATATATATATATAGATAGATAGATAGATAGATAGGGTAAAACGTGCCACTTTTTTACATGGTGTGGTGTTAGTGAAGTTATGCAAGTGGTTTATTTATGTAGCTAATGTATCGCCATTTTTATTTTACTATACATTATGAAGCTATATTTTTCATACTCTTCTGTTTACTAGCGTCTAAGCCCATTTTCATCTTTCAGATAGCGTTAACAAGCAGAATATTTGCTATTGGGCCGCCAACAATCCCAAACAACTTCATGAAAAATTTCTACACAGCGGACGTTGGGAGCCTGACATTTTTTTTTATAATGAAGAAGTAGAACGATTTCTGTAAATTCCTCTCGGTATGTGAAGATTTGACAAAATCTGGAACCAAAACTCACAAACCTTGGTAATTTGGTTGGATGATTTCAAAAGAATGGAGGCAGCACATAGACAGGCTCTCTGGTGATTCCCAGGAGGATGTTTTCAGGATCCTCTTAAACGTTGACGTTGGAAGGACACCTGATTCTTCACATTCCTCAGGTGTCTATGCCTATTTTCTCTGGACCTGTCTGAAACAAAGACTCCCGCCAAAAGTACAGGAACTGAAGGCCGACAAACGGCAGACAGTGACACAAATACCGCTACAAAAGACTCGTTGGGAAATTGAAAACCTCAGAAATATGCAACATTCAATAGGTTCGATATGGTCAAATTGGCAGCTGATCGCAAAAATAACCTGTTGTTATCTGGGGTAAGAAATGGCTTGTTAATTTTAAAACGTCCAAAATGAAAACCGCTTTAATTTTTATCAGCTGACAGAACGCTTTTCAACTTCCATCGATATGGCTGATGCTAACCTCCAAGATAGTGACTCACTGCGACTCTCTGATAATCTTTTTTTTCTTCTAGTGTGAAGTGGAAAGATTATATTGAATCAACTGCTAGGTCTGCTCTTAGGAAACTTGATTCCTTGAGTAGTGATAGGCAGTTTTTCTCGCCAGAATCTATCTTACAAATTTTAAGTCTACCATTCGTGATTGCTTCAAATTTTCCTACCACATATGTTCTGCTGCTTCTATTATATATTGAGAGATTTTTGATAAATTCCAAAGAAGAATCTGAAATGGTACTGGTCTTGACCTGGCATCTCGGCTTCAGTGACTTTCCATGCAATGTCGTTTCCCTTTACCTTTTCTATAAATACTTTCATGATAATTGTTCTGATGAACTTTCCTCGATGGTACCAAGACTTTATGAATTTAATTGCAGTACTAGATTGGCGGTTAGGTATCAGCATTTTATAGTTGAAATGGCGAGATGGAACCGTAAGTTCTATGCTAACAGTTTCTTCTGTCGCACTTACTCTATTCAGACTTCTTGCTTTCCAGTCAATTTTGATCTTCAAAAATGTAAAAGCAATGTTATATTCTGTTTTCTTAATTATTATTATTTTATTCTTCTCTCTCATTAATTGTCTATTTTTTGTAATATTCGCCAACACTCAGTAAACCCTTGCGTGTTAGTGACTTTATTGCCTTTATTGCGATGAAATGAGTAAAAACAAAAATAACGGCTTTAGCCTTTTTCATTTAACCTATAAATGCACGCAAAGACACACACACATGTCCACACAGATATGTAGGCATTTAAACAATTTTTTCATTAAAATCGACTAACAAGGTCTGTTTGTTTAAAATTTATTACATTTTTTGTCGTACATCCGGTTTAAAATTATCAGTTCCACTGAAAGGAAAATGATGAGCTTCCTTTTGGTATTTTTAGTAACCTTAAAAATCTGATTTTAACATACATGAATCTGATACAAGAGACGTCTTGGAGTATAAAGATCTCTAAGGGATATGCATTCTTAATTTTTTGGGGTTTGGGGTCACAGCTCTTGTCAGCGTCTTAGGTGAATATCCTATTAATTACAAAAAAAAAAAAAAAAAATGAAGCAAATTTAAAATAGCTTCCCCTCTGGTGAAAGTATCATTTTTAGTGTTTTAAGTTGTTTCGTTTGTATAATGATTGTTTCAAGAATCTGGGATCTTTTTTTTATAGTATTTTAGTATCTACCAATATCCGTCCTAGTTAAATAGTTGTATTAGGGTTATTGATAGTACCTTGATCAATATGGTTACAAATTGCTATAAGTTTTGATAAGTAGCCAGATAACCTGCGAGATAGTGTCGTGGTTGTACGACAAAAAGTACAATTTAATGTTGTCTTTTGATTATTGATATTAGAAACGAAATATTCCAAAGGTCATAAGAATTCATAAACGACAAATATGTTAAGCATTTTGAATTATTGTTTGTTACAAGATTGTATTGTTCTTTTGCCCGTTTCAACTTAAAAATTAAATCATTTTAAATGTTCGACTGATATAGCAAATAGAAATCCTGAAACTGGTATCAACATTCAATAAAAAAGTATATGGCGTTCAGTTTTTTGACTACATTTTCTCGTATCGAATTTGTGATTCAATCCTTTTTTTCTATCTTTTGAAAATGCAGAACATTTTCATGAAAATCAAGAAAGGATAGTTTGGATATTAAAACCCTTTTTGAATTTTTTTCCACTAACGTTCACCCAGTTCAAGGCCCAAGTGCCACTCAAGGTAGAGGGTTACTGTATGGTGTTGTATTAGCGTAATCAATGTCAACATGTGGAGTTTGAGGGTGGTCGCTACAATGGGCGTGACATGGCGGGTCTTAGCCGTGAAGATTTGAACTGATGGAACTAAGGATTGTAGTTTGTCTGACAACTTTCCATAGAAAAAGCGATAGAGAGAAAGGGGTTGTAAGGTGGAAAATAATTTGTCACTCACAAGGACGTGGAGACGCTTTTGGAATTTGTCGAGACTGGAAAGTGAAGACTGTACAGCTCCAGCCCATATATGGCAGCAATACACGATTATTGGCCTGATCTGGTTCTTGTAAAGACAGAGGATTGCATGAGGAGTCAGTTACTTCATCATCTTTTATGTGGTGTGTCCATTCAGGACAAAGGCAATCATGGCCCTCCACTTCCTCCTATCCTTTGTAGCTCTCAGTAAGTTTTGTCTCTTTGCTACTTCTCAAGGACTTTATTCTGTCATCTACTTGCTTAAGGCCGCTAGGTACGTCATGCGTTGCTTTCCCTTGTCTCTCTTTTCCACTATTCTACTTGAGAGTATCAGATTCTCCAAGCCTTCCTTTCTTATTAGGTGTCCCAGAAATTTCAACTGCCCTTTTCTAATGTTAAGTATAATCTTCCTCCTTGTTTGCATCCTCTTCGAAACTTTATCGTTTCTCATACGCTCGGTTCATGATATCCTCACTATCCTTCTGTAGAACCATACCTCCATTGTCTCGAGTCTCTTCTTCATCTTTGAGGAGACCGTCCAACATTCGCTACCGTAGAGACAGTCATTTCCTGGAGCGATACACAAAACCGACCCCTATTTCTTTAGCAATGGATTGTATATGTGTAAGAGCTCCATTTGAGATCTGGGTTGAGTTTACGACCCAGTTGACGTAAGGAAACATACCTTCATTGGGGTTAGTGATAGTTCACGGTCCGATCGCCGATAATGAAATCTATCTATCTATCTATCTATCTATCTATCTATCTATCTATCTGGGTCATTTCATAATCTATCTATCTATCTATCTATCTATCTATCTATCTATCTATCTATCTGGGTCATTTCATAATCTATCTATCTATCTATCTATCTATCTATCTATCTATCTATCTATCTGTCTCTGTTCATAAGTTATATATCTAACTTTGTCTGTCTGTCTCTCTCTCTCTCTCTATATATATATATATATATATATATATATATCAGTATGTTCATAATCTATCTATCTATCTATCTATCTATCTATCTATGACTGTTTATAACCTATGTATCCATCTGTCTATCTATCTATGTCTGTTCATAAGTTACATATCTATTTTCTATTTATCTAACTCTCTCTCTCTCTCTGTGTTATATATATATATATATATATATATATATATATATATATATATATATCGGCCTGTTCCTAATCTCTATATCTAGCCATGATATCCTTTGCATTCTTCTGGAGAGCCATACCTCCGTTGCCTCGAGCCTCTTATTCCCCTTTGAGGAGACCGTCCAACATACGCTGCCGTAAAGGAATGTAACTATATTTGTTTTCGAAGCATTGAATGTAACCAAGCCAATGAGGCTGTTAGATCGATGGAGAGATCGGCTGCCAATCTTTGGTCGTCTAGTGTTTTGAATCAAATCAAATAAATCTCAAGTACTTGTTATACTAATTAAGTGAGTTGTGCCGGTGATTTATGTTTGTAATGGCGTTTCAATTTGTTTAGCATCAGGATGCATCTGCTTATAATAAAGTAAAGCGTTCCAGACTGTTCTTCATATGACATCACTCATATCCGATACACAGAATTATAGCGTTCCTGAAAATGGCAAGTTGAAGCTAATAAAGATTTTTTTTTACCTACATACGCGGTGATAGCATTAATGTTCCTGATAATGATGGCAGAAGGTCGAATGAATTCGAACAAAAACATTTATGAACTTCAGGCAGTTTCTTCATCAATTTATTCCGGATGTGCCTCAACCTATACGAAAATTGGAAGTGTGTAATATTGTTTAAATAGAGTCAGTCTATCTATCTATCTATCTATCTATCTATCTATCTATCTCTTCGCTCCAGCTGCTCTTCCTTGTGGTTATATTTTAATTTCCCTGTCCCTACCCACCCGGCCTATCCTCCATCTTGTCTTTCTTTATTTGAAGAGTTCAAGTTCCCTCTTCTTTTCCTCCCTTTGTATTCTTTATCAATCTGACATAAGCACATATCTTCCACCCATTGCAGTCAGTTTTTTGGCTTTTTTTTTCTTCTTCTTTTTTTTTTTTTGTTTTTTTTTTTTGAGTGGGTGTTCTTTCTTCCTCTCGTTTCATTTAAACTTGTCTGTCAACAAAACAATGCATTTACGAATGAAATTGTTTTTTAATTTTCTCGAGCAGGAAAGAAAGACGTGGTGAGAGGTGGAAAGAATGTTGAAGAGAAACGGAAATTTCGAGAAGGAAACAAAAAAAATGAATATTGAAAAGGAAGGAAGGAAGGAAGGAAGGAAGGAAGGAAGGAAGGAAGGAAGAAAGGAAAAGGAGAAAGCAAGAACAATTAGTTAACTAGGAAAGGGAAAACGAGAGACAAAAGAAAGAACTAACGAAAGAAAGAAAGAAAGAAAAAAAGAAAGAAAGAAAGAACGAAAGTTGAAGCAAAAATAAATATTAGAAAAAACAGAAAAAATGGCCACAAAACAAGTAAGAAGGAAGGAAGGAAGGAAGGAAGGAAGGAAGGAAAAAGTAAAAAGCCAGAATAACTAGTAAATGATAGGAAAGTGAAAAAGAGTCAAACGAAAGAAAGAAAAAGAAAGAAAAGAAGAAAGAAAAAAGAAAGAAAGAATGAAAGAAAGTAATAAAAGAAAGAGGAAATGAAAAAGGAAGTAAGAAAGAAAAAAGAATGAAAGGAAGGAAGAAACGAAGAAAGAAGATGAAGCAAAAGTAAATATATAAATAAAGAGAAATTGTCACAAATCAATTCGAAAGAAAGAAAGAAAAAAAGGTACAAAGGAAGTAAGGAAGGAAGGGGTGGAGGGGGAAAAGAGAAAACCAAAAACAACTCGTAAAATGCTAGGAAAGTGTAAAAAAAGAGACAAAAGAAAGAAAGAGAAAATAATAATCAAAAAGAAAGAGAAAAATGAGAAACAGCGAAAGAAAGAAAGAAGAGAAAGAAGAAAAGATATGGGAAATAAAAAAGAGAAAAAAAAAGAAAAAACAAGAAAAGGTCTGAAACCTGTGGAAGCAAACCGAATGAAAAAAAAGAAAAAGAAAAAAAAGATAGAAACACTCAATAAATGGATTTGACACATGCATCTGTTTTCACGAAATCAAATGTCAATCAAAAAGCATTTTATAGGACCGCACACATCAAGAAATGTCTTCGTTCGTTTTATTGCCCTGGCGACAGAAATAAAACCAGTTTTATAGATAAATACGCAGGCTCGTGGGTGGCGAGTTGTTTCCCACCTCACAACCCGTTTCCCGCAAGCGTAACATTGCCAGCTTTTCGTGTGTCTATTGTTATTTTCTTCAGAAAGGCATATTTCGTTATTCTGATGCGACTTCACAATTCCGCCATTTGTTACTATACACTGTAGTTTTAACGAGAAGACGAACTTAAACTTTAATGAAACGTATACTTACAATCAGAAGGAGAACTTAAATTTCTGGGACAGATATTGAGGAAAGAGATAATTTGACTAACAGGATATACCGAAAGTAAAAAAGAGCAAAAAGAAACACAAATTAATCTACTTGACGAGTAGCTTTTGTCAAAACATGGACAAACTGGTAAGGTAAAGGGGAAAATTACTAAGAAAATAATATATATATATACATATATATATATATTATTAATATATATATATATATATATATATATATATATGTTATTAATGCATGTTTCATTAAATAATATAGACAAGTTTTGTCTATTTATTTTAAATAAGTTCCTTTTATATTGACTGATAAGCTTAATGACATTATCATTGAAAGACGAAAGGAAATCACCATATTGATACATGTTTAAATCCAATCTAAGCTTTCGGCTTACATAAGCCATTATCAAAGATGACAATTTCAATAAATCAAACAACACACGGACGAAACAACAGTGATAGTCTGCCCTTGCTGTATGAAAAATTTCTAGTGGTGGTGTTCCATTTTTACAAAGATGTTCTAAAAATGAAACATTTTTTAAAAAAATATAAAATTTAAAAAAAAAATCATGTGTTTGTGAATAAGTCCTGAAAGTTTCATTAAAATCCGAAAAAAATTAAGTTTGCGACATTTTTCATCGTGTATTCTCATTTTTTTATCGAATCTTTGGAGGTACACACACACACACACACACACACACACACACACATATATATATATATATATATATACATATATATATGTAAGGTACTCCAAAGAAGCCGAGCAAACCTACCTAGTTTTCACCTAAACGGATCGTCAGGGCGATGCCGGCTGAAAAGGAAAATTATGGAACAGAATTCATAGCTAAACCCCAAAACAAACATGACCACGTGACAAAAAAAAAGAAGAAAATAAAGTCAAACAACAGGGAGTAGGGGTTACGTAGTTTATTCAACAAAATAAAAACCTATTCTAATAAATAGTGTTTCCTATGTCTATACCTACTAAGAATCTCTGACTTTAGGTTTTGCTCTACTTCGTGTATTCAGGACTTTACATAGTTGCCTTTTAATCGTTTTGGGGGTTCTTTTCATTGGGTCCAGGGTTTTTACAAACGAGTACCACCATTATATATATATATATATATATATATATATATATATATATATATATGTATGTATGTATATATATATTCCAAACAATGAAACGAAAGATAAAAATGAAAATTCACACTTTTGACGGGTAGTATTAAGTTTATGTAATTTAACAGAGAGGGTAGCGAGGAGTAGTGTGAGAGACATGGTCGAGTTTAGAGGGTTTATTTTAATATTTCTTCCAATTATACCTAGTATTGGGGGAGGAGGCACAGACCTTGACCTATATATATATATATATATATATATATATATATATATATATATATATATTCTCTTTCTCTCATCCATTCTCTTACCTTTTTAAGGTTGAGATGATGTAATGCCTTTTTCTCAAATCAATTTAAAATATCTAATGTTTATTCACATTCAGTTCTTTCTGATCTTTATGAAAATTATGTTACACACTCTCTCACATTGCCAAATATGTAGATTTAATTCCCCTTCCTACATCCATGCAATAACTTCATTTACTAACGCTCTACCTTGAGTCGCTCTTGGGCCTTGTATCGTGCGTACATTTAGTAAAAAGATAAATGTAAGATCTTCCTGCAGACACTTCTTTTTGCCAAGCATCGGAACTCTCCAGCATATGATAATAATTTTTCCACTTCACCCCAAACGAGACGATAGAATCCATTACGATGCAAGGGGTTACTGAGGGTGAAAGAGACAGAGAGGACAACAAAAGAACAGGATTCAAGTTGACAGAAGATTTAATTTTTTTGAAGATCTTTGCTGACATGAAACCAGGAAGCCGGAAGAGAGTTCTACAAACGGGATGTGCGAGAGAAGAAACTATTAGTGTACAAAATACAGTTACAACTATCAATGCCGACAGTAAAATAATGAGACCTAACTGCCCATCTAGTACTGCGCTTAAATTTGTTAAGTTGAGGTATCAAAGAGGAAAGCTCCTCAGAATAATTACCGTGAAAACATTTGTAGAAAAGATACAGTGAACCTCCGCTCTACCGGTGTGAAACCGAGTTGTCATGTCAGAACCGATAACCTTGCAGATTGTTCTTTCGATTTTGTCTCTCGATATGTAGCAGCAGCACCAGATCAGATGTGGCAGTAATATTCGATGCTCGGATAAATGGCAGACTTATAATTGTGTAAGATAGATTCTGCCGAAAAAATAATCAGGTATATATTGAACTTTTTTTCCTAGCAGAAGACTTTAGAAATTGATTCAATATAATCTTACCATTTCATGTTATTGGAGAACGTGCAACCAAAAGAGCGCAATGAGTTACTGTCGACCAGTGTGTAGAACCCTGTCAAACGCCTTCCAGATATCAAAAACAACATCCTAAGCTTTTCTATTGTTATTTTAATCTTGACAAATTCTTTCAGCAATTATAGTTAATACCTCGGCGGTTGAACTAGAAAATACAAAGCCATATTGTGTGTTTGAAAGAAGGCACTGTAAGGTGAGATGTTAAACCAATTCAGACTTGACTAGAGCTCGCTAGTGCTTTGCTAAAGACTTAAACTCCTTAATGCCGTTAGGTTTCATATATTGTGTGTTGTTAGACATGATATATCCTGGGATCCATAGTGGAGTGGTTTCCCGTTAAATTCTCCACGGTGGTTTATGGAGACGCCACTTCTAGTTAGCTGGCCGTTGACTTAATATCAGGAAGAGACAGATGAAATTTCTGGGACACGAAAGGAGGGCCTGGAGAATCTGATACTCACAGGTTGACTAGAAGGAAAAAGAGACAAGGGAAAGCAACGCATGACATACTTGGTGGACTTAAGCAAGTGGATTACAGAACGTTGTCTGGGGGAGTTGGCAAAGGGACGAAACTTATTGAGAGCTACAAGGGATAGGCAGAAGTGGAGAGCCATGATCGCCTGCGTACTGAAGGGACACGGCACATAAAAAGAAACATTATCTTGTCAAAAAGAGATAAAAAATTAATAGTTGATATTTCGAAAGACCAGACGAGTGGTCAGATTTCCTACAAACAGAATGGTATTTCCAACAGGTCGGAAAGCAAGAAACAGCCAAGCATCTATTATAGCGATTGGAGAAAACATAGGCTAGTTCAAGGGCAAATTTCTTAAGGAATATTGAAGGGATACCATCAAATGGATATGCTATGCAGGGATCAAATTTAAAGATGATAGCAGAAACTATAGACAAATTTATATGAATATCACACAGTAGAAACTCACTTCTAAGTAAGTTAAATAATGGCACACCCGAGTCGAGAGTAAAATTGAAAAAGAAGTTACGAGCAAATCATTTTACGTTATTAGCATCAAATTCACTGAAAACAGCATTTTAACACGTTCTTACAGGGCCGCCACTCGTTTCAAATGCCCAAATTTGTGAGAGGCTATACGGTGCTTTGTCCTATCAGCGAACAACGACTTACTCTCCTTGAGAAGAAGTTTGCAATTATTACGAGAAGACACAAAGAGATGCCTGTTGTGTTCAGAGATATGGCGTTGATTTTGTTCATTTTTGCGGTAAGAGGCCGGGGTTTTATCCTCTGTGTTTTGGTCATAGATTCAAAAAATTTGCTTCTTAATCCCTTAGTAATTATTCAACCAATAAAATACATGATTATTAAAAAAAAATCAATCATACAGTTACAGGCCGAGGACACTTTGATGCGGTATAATGGTTAGTAAGCTTGTCTCCCTGGATCAATTACAACTGATTAGTGAGCACGATCCACAATAGGTGTCCCATACACATCTACGCTACGCTTAGTAAATCACTGCAATTAAAAGCCGAAAACATTTTGCCGTGGT